CGTCTGTCTAGGGTGTGATGACATTGCACCAGGCTGTGACATCATCACAATGACACCAGCTGGGATCAGAGGGATGGCAGATCCTAGTGCAGGGGACGAGCTGACCTGCTCATCTCCATGGTGCATAGACCAGGGTAGCAGGGGATAGGGCTCTCTCTCTCTCAGCTGACGAATCTATCTAAGGTACTTACCTGATCCCCGGTTACTAGCGTATCTGAACCCAGGTCTCAGCCAGTGTTCTAACCACTGGTCCATCCATCCCCTCTACCCATACACATAAGGGGCAGTAGATTAGACAGACTGCTTGGTCTCTTCATTTAGAGACATACAGATCTTTCATAACAGAACTGGGAAACCCAGGCAAGCCTCACCTGGGTTTGTCCTTCACTACAGACCCCCAAACCTGGGCCAGGTTTGCAGAGCTGAGCAAGCCTGGGGGAGAAACCAAATCAAGTTTCTTTTCTCCTGCTTTTGATCCAAGCCAAACCCTTCCGTCCCAGCTGCCCTGTGTTAACAGTCCAACCAGATCTCTCTCTTTTGCAATGGCCCTGTAGTGGGCTGAACCAAAAACCCGGCTCCACCGATACCCAGATACTCAGCAGAGAAGACACTGGGACTGGAAATCTGAATGCAAATCTTGCACCTTGATTCTACAGGTGTCAGCCTGACACTCATCTAGACTCAGTGATGTCTCGCTCTAAACATAGGGGTCTGAAGCCAAAACTCAGAGCAAGTCTCCAACCCCCCCGCATAAAACTAAACCCAAAGCAAAGTTCATCCTGTGATCTTCTGGTTGGGCTCAGCTCTGGCAGCTCTTAAGTCCCAGTGTAAACCTGTCCCTTTGTCCTACTGGTGTCAGACCAGTCCTAACTTCCCTGACAGCCAATAAAATATTTCCTCTCCCAACAAGTCGCCCCCGGTAAATTACGAGCCCTGACATGCAGTTACATTTTAATCTATCTATATAAAAATCCCTTTATGGGGATCTTTAATACTCAGATGTGCACATTAAATCTTTAAGCAAACCAGTTGGAGCTGAACAATGGGCTTTTCAAAATCCCGTCCCAGCAGAAGGTTCTGAGCCTGAGGTAGCTCAAAGATGGGCAGAGTCAGCACAAACTGTCCCATGTCGATCAGTTTGCCAACAGGGCGGCCAGTGGCTGTAATCTCGGTTTAGTGTTATCTGCTTTAGCTCCTTACGGACAGACGCAGAGCAAAGTGCCTAGCTTTAGGGCTGGGTGGACGTGGGCCAAGGAGATATCGGTGCCATTTACTCCATTGCAGAGTGAGGATCCAGCCCACCCAGAATGCCAGTGTCATCCACGCACCTTGAATGGCGTAAGAAACCCAAGTGCAACAATGGATTGGGCCCTCGCTGGCTGGGCTCCGGACCCATTTTAAACTGGTGCAACTACATTCATCCTCCGTCACGCCACACCGGCTTTTCTTACCCTCGTCTCCTCTGCCCTGGCCCCCCATTCTCTTCCCTTTTCAGCCCAGGGAGCTGATCCCCTCTGAACTAAACCCACCCACAGTCGAAAGATCATGGTACGAACATGCCACCTGCCACCAGTGCACTGGTTGCTCAGCTGGTGTGTTCCACCCCCCCACCCCGTGCTGGCTGGTCGAGGTAGGTTGTAAATAGGGGCAGGAACTGTGTACTGCTCTGTCTGTACAGCACCTTCCACACTGGGGTCCCACGCTCATTTGGCATCACCCTAATAAATGTGATTAATAATAATACATTGGCATCAATGGAGCTACTCCTGATTTACCCCAGTGGGAGCTGAGAACCAGGGCCTATTGGTGTGCATCCACAAGACACAAGCTAGGCAAATTACCACCACCCCCCAGACATTTGTCACTGGGAACTTTACCATGACCCCACAAACTCATCACTATCAGAACCATCAGCCCTTCCTCCCCCGCATCCTCGAGAGCAGAGACAGGCCCAGCCATAGACGGAGATCGATTTCTTTTTCCTTCCTGCCAGGGCATGGGAACTCCTTGCCAAGAAAAGCAGCAGGCTTTGGGAGCAGATGCCTTCTCTTTTCCCTTAGCTCTTTGCAGCATAATCTGCAGGAAGGCAGGAATCGGTAAGTGTCGGAGGCAGAAATAGACTGCTGGTTGCCTGGTTTTTTAAATATAATCAGCAGCGCCCATGGTTCTGGAGTTCACGATGCTACACAGCTCCACAGAGGGCCCTGTGGTAAGGCTAATGCTCATTCAGTCATAGGGCAGATGCATGGCTGGCTTATTAGGTGAAATTTACAGTAAGCCCCAAATCCTGCAACAATGTTTGAGACAGGGCCAGTTTTTATGCTTATGTGACCACATCCTTTTCAATGGAAATGATAATTGGAAGTGGAGTCTAGTGGTTAAAGCAGGGGACTGGGATTCGGGACTCCTGGGCTTGTTTCCTGACTCTGCCACTGCATGACCTTGGGCAAGTCACTTAATTGTTGCTCTTTGTATTACAGTAACACTAGAGGCCCTAATCAGGGATCAGCACCCCATTGTTCCAGGCACTGTACACACCACTGAGAAGGTGGCCTTTGCCCCACTTGTCTTTGTGTAAGACAAGAGACAGCAGATAGATAAAAATAGATGCGTGTGCACAAGCTCTCTCTGCCTCAGTTTCCCCATCTGTAGACTAAGGGTTAATTAATGTTTGCAAAGTGCTTTAAGATTCTGAAGTATAAGCTAGATGTTCCAAAAGCTATTATTATATTTAGAAGTGTTAAGTAAGAATGGTACCTTCCTTTTGTTTGTAATAGCACCATATGGCTCTTCAGGTTAAGTCTCCCAGCTTTACAACTCATCAAAATTGTCAATTCTACATCCTAACTGCAGGATCTTCATCAATGCCTGTGATGCAAGAGGCAAAAGGACCCCAAAGGTTTTCTGGAGCCTATGGAGGGACTGTCTGGGTCTCTGCATGTTAAGAAGGCAAAAATCTATATGGAATTTACCCGGATGATTAAAGCAGGACACTCACAATGTGGTTTCTTGCAGAACTGTTTTGCTGGTTATAGCCAGTCTTTAAAGGAATCCAACCTGGTTTGCTTTAAAGCTTCAGGGACGTTCTGTGCTGGAGACGCAGCCCGGGGGAAAACAGACAAGCACGGCTTTATACCACCTTAGTGCCGAGTGTATGCCGAGCCACCATCACTGTAAACTGGAGTGTTCTTGGGGCTGCTCTAGATTTACAAAGGCCTCTTCAGAGCTGCCTAGCCTCTCCATAGGCACACCAAGGGCTACAGCTACCATACTGCCAGCCCCACATGTCCAAAAAAAATCACAAGTCTGGCCCCTAAAAACCACGAGATTGGCTTAAAAAAAATCACGAGGTCTTAAATAATATATTTAGGCTCTTTTCCTTTGCGTTCTGAGCCTTTGGGGTCATGTTTGCAAGCTTTTCTCTGCACCCACCCTACTTTGGGGGGAGAAGGGAGCAGAGATTCTCATTTAATCACATGGCCCTAAGAGTTTATCTTTATCACCAAATATCGCCAGACTTGCAGTAAAATCATGAGAGCTGGCAATGCTAAACTCCTTTCTCCTCCCAATCCCTACCCACGCCCGATGCCCCCCACATCCTCTACGCTGAGATTTGGGGACAGTATACGGCTGCGTATCCAGCTCTTCCCTGATCCTTTGCAGTTTATTTATGACTCCTATATGCCACCAGAGCATCAGAGGAGAGCTGGAGAGTACGTCAGAACTGGCCCCTAATATTTTTCAACCTCTGTGTGTTTAAATTAACATCTAGAAGATTAAGAAGTTACACACAGTCTGTTCTGTGTCTGCTTATTTAGATCACGTGGGAGACCAATGCTTTCCCCACCCATTCCTTTCACAAGGAATAATGAGATAGAGCAGAGCCAAATTAGACAAAATCCTTCACCTGGAGATAAGCTTGGCTTAGCCATCTCTGATTTAGGCTTAGTTTTCACTCCGCCTACCATCTGCGCTTCGAGAAACCAGACACACAGCGTTTAAAAAGGCAGCCTTATTTCATTAAAACAACTAATTCATAGCTCTCCTGCTTGCTGAGAAAAGCTTGAAAACATGACCTCTACACTGAAAAATATAAATCAGAAAGAAAAATAAAAGTGCCCTCCCCCAAATTTTATTTTTTAAATCTCACGATTATTGGGTGCCTGGGGTTGTTCCTACTGGAAAGGTCCGAGTCAGCGCTAAATTCGGGTTTTGTAATTCAAGCCAATCTCAGAGCCAACCAAAAAATTTCCATGGTTAGAATGATTTGTTTTTAAGTTCTGATGGAAATTGATATTTGAAAAAAAAAAAATAGATCTCGGTGCTACTGGCCTGATTAATCCAAAAAAAACCATGAACGCTCCTAAAAAAAAAAAAAAGAACCAATGAGATTGTCTTAAAATTCATGAGATTTTAAAGAAATGAACGAGTTCTAGAGTTGTTTATTTGAGTCCTGGTTTCTGAGACTTTAGAGGGCATTTGGGTTACGTTTTTTGGTGTGTTTGTTTTTTTTACTTTTTCTCTGCAACCTTGCGGGCGAAAAATGTACTTTTTCTTTAAGCGGAAGGGGAGACTCTTGGGCATTCCCATGACTCCAAGAGCTGGGGTTTTAAAAACACAACAAGACCCACACTAAATATCATGACCGTTGGCCACAGCGATATCCTCACAATGGTTTGCAGCCCAAACATTGCAGCCGGGGGCTAGCGCATGAGAACCTGAGGGCGTAACTGGCCAGAGACTGTGCATGGACAGGTGGGCTAATTTCACGGGCCAAGTGCCAGTTTCAGTCCCATGATCATTGGGGTGGGTGGCATCCGTGCTGGGTTGGGGGGTTCTCCCCTCTATCTGGGCAGGATTTTGGGGAGCGGGGGTTTGCCCTCAGTTCTGAGGTGAGGCCAGCGAATTCCTCCCCTGCTGCTGGGGAAGGGGGGGCCCCAGCCTGCAGCCCCACCCCAGGCCTCGGGGCCGGAGGGGGGGAGATCGGGATTCAGAACAAGGCTGGGCCTGCTGGAGCCTGAAGCTGTCCCCATAGCAACCCCAGCCGCTTGCCTGAACTAACAAAATGGCTGATGTGGCTTCCGGCTTGGAGGGGCTGGATCTGGGGGCCCTGAGCCCAGAGCAGCAGGCACAGCTCATGGAGTTCAAGGTGTGTTGGGGGGGGGTGAGGGTGGGGAACTGCGGCACCCCCTTAAAGTGCATGTGTGGAGGGGGGGGCTGGGTCCAAGAGAAACACCTCCCCCCAGATAATGGGGCAATCCCACCCTAAAACAGGAATGGGTGGAGAAAGGTTCCCCCCTCCCCCAAAAGGAGGGCTGCTCCCCACCCAAAAACCTTTTTCAGTCTGGGAGCCATTCCTCCCCCTCCTCTTCTTCCCTCCCAAAAACTTAAGGTGCAGGCCCGAGGCAGCCCCAGGACCCCTTAACTGGGGATGTTAAGGGTTAGTTCGACACCCCTATGTGTGTCCCCCCCACTAAGGGGGCAGGGTGGGGCAGTGCTGATGGTCCCGGTCACTCCCGGGGGAAGACTGGATTTTTTACCTGACCATTTTGTTTAAGCTGTTTTAGGGGCTGTCTTGATTGTATTCGGGCTATTGGCAAGACATTGGGGTCCTGGGCAAGGCAGGGGGAGCGAGACACAGAGTCTGATCGAGTCCTGGTTTCACTCCTGGAATTGTCACCCAAAAGTGACACTTTTCACCCTGCTCTAAATAAGATCGGCCAGACTGGGTCCGACCAGTTGTACGTGGCCAGTGCAAGATGCTTCAAAGGGAATAAAGCGAACAGGGTAATTATCGAGCGACCCAGCCCTTGATGTCCAGTCCCAGCATCTAGGTTTCCCAAGAAACTTTTTTTTGGCCAAAAAAATGCAGATTCAGCAACACTGAAATGTGTTGTGAATTGCTGTCGGGTTTGCTGAATTGTTTTAGTCAAACACAAAAACAAAAAAACCCTTAAAAAGTGTCCAAAAATAATCAAAATGGTTTGATTATTATTTTTTAGTTCAAAACAACCCCCCCCCCAAGTTTCCTTTAATTCTCTTAATAATCAAAAGTGTTTTAGAATGCTCAAAAAAATAAAATCAAAATGTTTCATTTAGACTTGAAAGAAACATTTCATTGCACTCAAAATATTTTTCTCTTTGAAATGCTAAAAGTTTTGAAAAAAAGCTCATTTTCAGTTTGACCCAAAATAAACGTTTTCTCATTTTTTTGGAGTTGCCAGCCAAGTGAAAACCCCTATTATCTGTACAGCTCTAGTTACGTTGAGCTGGAATGGTCTCAAGGATAGATCACAGATTCCTGGATTTAAAGCTATGAGCCAGAGGGCTGGCAATCCAATTTACTGATAAACAACCAGAAAATCCTGTTGAAGTGCTTTGACCCTACCCAGTCAGTGAACATTTCTCCTTGGCACATAAACTGTAGCTTCTCCGTTTTGCCATCTCCACAATCAACGTATTTAGGATTTCAAAAGATGTTTGATCAGTTTCAGTCATTCCTCCAATTTACGGAGAATATTCTCATCAAGGTGATAATTACTCATTCAGCTTCCCCAGGGCCTGATTTAGATTAAACCTTAGATCTAGAAGGATGTCAGTGAATAAAATCTAATACGTTTATTAGAGCATAGACTGCAAAATCAGGAAAGCTGGGTTTTATGCCCAGTTCTGCTCCTGAGCTGCTCGAACTCCCCCGTTCTGGACCTCTCGATCACCCTCAGAATGTCTATCAGGATTCCTGGCTTCTATTCCTGGCTCTACCACTCATGTCTAGTGGAAGAGGGGAACCTTTCTGTGCCTCAGTTTCTCCATCAATGTAATGGGCATACACAATATTGATGTACAGGATCATCCCTCACGGTGGGAATTGTGAGGATTGCCTAGCATCTGCATAGCACTTTGGAGAGGCAGAGGGCTACGTAAATGCTATGTACCACTGCTGATTCAGGAAAGCACTGTTGGACTAACGAAACAGGGTTACTGCCAGTTCAATGCTGCAGCCCTTAAACATACCTTTGCTGTTGTGCTTCTGCTCCCAGATTAACACTCGCATTGCCAATGAAAAGTACCTGAGGTCTCACAAAGAAGTTGAGCTGCTGCTATCAGGATTTCTGAGGTAATTTCATCTTCCCAACACCACAGACACTTGGTACGAATTGGAGTCTTGAAAATTTACCTCCAACACCAGACATGCAGCTATTGGTTCAGTTGCCTCACCATGCCTCAGTTTCCCCTCCTCAGGAGATGGTCTTCCCCAGTCTGATTGAGTCCTCTGGCCAAGGCAAAAGTCCTCTCCTTCCAGGAGAGACAGAAAGCAGCCCTCTCCCCTGCTCACAGGCTTTCAGTTCCTTTTGCCCTCCCTGGGCTCAGGCCTCCGCTTTGGTCACAGAAGTTTTCACAGTTCCTTTGCCCTGGATGAGTCTTTCTCCTCCCAGTGCTGTAGCTCCCTCTTGCTCAGAGGAGGAACACAGTCCATATGGTCATCCTCTCCCATCCCTGGGCATAGCACCCTCAGCATAGGGCTTTCTACACCCCCAAGGGGCCCACGCTCCAGGATTTAGCCCCAAGACTGCTCAAACAGTCTGCCCTCAACTCAGGATTGCCCCGCTGACCGCGTGGCGTGGCCTACCAGACCAGACCAGACCCAGCCCTAGCAGGCTCCCCCCTCTAGCCCATAACTCTTTTCAGCGCTTTCTCCCTTTACATGCTGTTTCCGCCTTCCCAGCAGGCCTTGCTCACTCTCAGTCACATGCTCCGTAGACTACAAGTCCCATGGTCTGGGAGGGAGTGAAGCAGAGGTGTAAGCTGGGCTTGAGCTCCCTTTAAAGGACCAGCTCACTGAGTGCCAGACCCTGACGTGACCAATTAGCCAGAGATGAGATGATCCAGTGAATATCTCCCCCCACTTCCCAGCAGGGAACAGCTTGCAGTTAGCAAGTGCACTGTAACCCCTAGGCACCTATTCTGACCCCTATTCCATGCAGCTGACCCAGCAGGATTTTATCAGGGAGAATCAGAACCATATGTGGAAGCTGTTAACAGCTTTAAACTCATCCATTCCCAGCAGGAATTGGCAAGAGCTAGCGCAGGCCCCCTTCTCGGATACTGGAGGTATTTCCAGGGGTTCTACTGGCATACAAGAGGTGTAGAGTGCCGTCTGGGGGAGGAGGAAACTGATTAACCAGAAGCTAGGCCTTAGTGCGTATATGTGGAGGACAGTTTGTAAGAGGAAATATCACTGCATGGGAGAAGGAAAAGGAGGGTTGAGAATGACATTGTGAGGATGGGGGCCACCAGATGGTGCCGCTACACCTAGTCTTACAAGTTCTTTGTCTGTGCTGGTGAGCAATGTTCAGTCTCTGAAGAAAAGCTGCGTTGTTAGTTTTATAATGGTCAATGCTCTTTGGTGGAGCTCTTGCAAGCAGCTGGGGCATTTGCTTTCTGCCTTAATCCCAGGGAACCAGGCCTTGGTACCGTGGTTGAAATTTCCTGACAGGCAGCATTGCCTGCATGCTCTTGGTGACCTTCTTTGTTCCAGGCCTGGTGTATAAAGTGTAAATAAAACAAATTGCACTAAGACTACACACACACTCTGTGTCACTGATTTCTCCTCCTCTGGAAAAGCAGCACTGCAGGACCCCACTATCTGCTACCTCTTGGCAGGGGCGTGAGCGTAGGTTAGGGTAGAACCCCCTGGTCTCACCTGGACTAAAGGGAAGGAGGGTCATTAGGGAGATAGCTTGCAAAGGCACTGAGCACTTGCGGCTCACATTGATTTCAGCTGCAGTTGAGGGTGCTCAGCTGCCCTGAAAATTGGGTCTGAAAGCTTCTACCCAGACGTTAGAGATGGAAAAATCCTGTTAGGGCCCATCTACTCCCTGTTGATGCTTGATTATTTTCTCTAGGACATTTTCTTTTCAGGATGTATCTTCTCCAGTTTAATTTCAAATATCCCAAGTGATGGGGCTTCTAATACCATGGCCTTGGCAGACTATGCCATAGCTTAATACACTTCACCTGAAGGGTTTTTGCCCCTCTTTTCTTAATTGCATCCTGTTCCTCACTTGTACCCTGTGCTCCTAAATACTTCCCTCTTGCTGCTTCGTGCATGTGTGATTCAAGATTCTTGTAGCTCCCTGGTCTTAGCAGGGAAATCCCAAGTAGCATACAGGAGTGTGGACACCCCAAGAACCAAATGGCATGGGGATGGGTATTCCTAAGTGAGGAGCGGAGAAGCTCTCCAATCATGGGCCAGATCCTCAGCTGGTTTAAGCTGGCATAGCTCCTGACTTCACTGCAGCTATGTTGATTTACCCTCGTGTATTATGGATACTGTGTGACCGGTTGTCTTCGCATGTACCCTGCTGTAAATCAGGAGTAACTCCATCAAAGCCAACAGAATTACTCCGGCATGAGGCCAGAACTGGGCCTTTCCCTGTAGAGGTACCCAGCTGAACGGCAGGAGCGTAGGTGAATGCAGATCCCCCAGTCTATCACGCCAATATCTAATTGCTTTCAATAGGATTTCAGGTTACAAAATGCTTGGGACATTATCCCGGGATAGTATTTAACCATGATGAAATTTTTGTGGTTTTATTTCAGGTGAAATGTATGTTTTCTCCCCCATTTGTTAGTAATTATCTTATCGATTCCCAATGCAGGGCTGTGTAATTCAGTGAGGAAGATTTAATTGTGATAAATATTCCTTAGCTTTGTGCCAGTCTAAATTGTTGTGGGGTTTTATAAATATAAAATTCCCTAAAATTGAAGGCAAACATAAATTAAATGTTTTTCCTCAGTAACTAATTGGCTTATTGATTCCCAATATAAAAGTGTAATTTACCAATTCGTCTTCTGCGTGTTCAGACAGGGCTAACATAATAAGCCACCACAAGACCAATCAGTAAAACTTGGTTTAAAGTCTATTTCTCCCCGTTTTTCCCCAGAGAAGTTATGCTGAGAAGACCAGAGAATATCCCTGAGTTTGCAGCAGGTAAAACCATTATTTTAATCCTGTTAGACAAGAAAAGCAAGACTTGTTAGTATTATTATGATCTTCAGAAGTATTGAGGCAACGGTTTAGAGAAAGTGAGCCAGATTCTGTCTAGCTTACCCCAGTGTAAATCCAGAGCAACCCCACTGAAGCAAGGGTTGAATTGGAAGGGGGGAAAAAGGAGGGTGGGACTATTCTAAGCCCCACCCACAAAATAAGCTCCACCTCTGTGAGTTGCCAAAGCGAGACACGGCTCACGGTAGGTAGTACGTGTATTCAAAATACAATCATTTTGCTGCTTGGTGCTCCTGGGGATCCCACAGACTCTGCTCCTTCTTGACTGGCGGGGAAAATATAAAGGGTGGCATCTCCCAAATGCCACCCACGTGGAAGAATAAGTTGGGCAAAGTAAGTCTGCGCCCTACTCCATCTCTGCTCTTATGTGAGAGGAGTGAAATCATTCACAATATTGACCATGATGTCAGCATGGCTGCGAACCTGGCTTAACCTGTTGCGGATCTGAATGACACAGTTCACATCGCTCTGAGCGACTGTCCCAGGCTCTCGGCTAGGGAGGCCACCTCTCCAGGTTTGAACCAGACAGTACTCTTTTGGGGTGGCTTGTCCCCCATACAGCACTAGGACCAAACCAGAAGTGATTCTGTGCAGTATTGGCCAGGGGACACCATTTTTAAGAGCGCACTGCTCCACCCCCTCTGGCGTGAACGCAAACGCTGTGCGAGATCAGGCTGAGGGGGCAGGAACATGCCAGCGGGGGGCAGGCCAGTGCCATTTCCAGAAGTACTGGAACGCCCAGTATTCTGGGACCATGTCTGCAGACTCAGGAAGACCCCACTGCAGTGGTTCCGTTAACTTCTTTGCACCATAGCAGCTCAAGGCGTAAGGTTTGGTTTGGTTTTTTAATGAAAGGTGAGATTTTGGAGAACCAGACAGTCGCTTCAAAGCAGTGCTGCCCTGGCGTATGGGCGCACATTCGCTGCTTCTGAGCCCCGTACTGCAGTCAGTGGATCGACACGCTGCAGGCACTGATAGCTGCAACTGGCTCTTTGGCTTTTCGTGGCTTGCCTTTGTACGGGGCGGCTTGCCACTGGAGGGCTGGGGCAAGGCAACTGATTACGGAATGAGCCGCTCCTGGGAGAGAGCAGGGGGATTACCCTGTAAAGGGCAGCAGTGAAGAGGAGAAGCCCAGGCAAGGGCTGAGACACCGCAGAGCATGTGGAAACGCTCCTGCAAAGACCCTGAGACGGAGGGAGCTGGATAGTGAGGGGCTGCAGTGACCAGAAGGCTCCTGGGAGAGACTCTGACTGGGAGAACGGCCGAGGACCTATTGCGGGGGACTCCCTACCTACAGGGAGAGAAGGACTGAACTGGGGTTGGGGCCTGAAGGGCCGGTATGTAAGGGGTCAATAAACAGATCCCCGTGAGAGGAATGTGTTTTCGTTACCTGTGGACTGTGAGTTATTAAGGTGCGCTGAAGAGGGGAGAAACTGGTAGCAGGGCACTGCAGAGTGACCTCTGACCTGCAGGGGGCGCTCATTCAGTGGCCACCCCACTACAGCCTTGTTATTTCTACTGCATGGGTTTCTAGTCGTCCTTCGCTGCCGAAGGTGCAGCCTGTGGCCATTGCAGATGTTTAGAATGAGCCCATTCATGGGCTCAAATGATTTACTGTTCTCCAAAAGGTCTGCCTCTGTTGCGCTGGGATGGGGATCTAGATGCCAGGGTCTGGCATACGCTGGCACCCCCGTTGAGGTTTCCCTCAAGCTGCTAACGAAGAAGCTGGTTAGAAACTGGATCTTGGGCTGGCTAGAGTCTCTAAATGAAGGTTTAGACTCTAAGAGGAAGATTGGTGGGCACCTTGCCACCAATCTCACTCCACAACCTTAACTCTGTCCCCCCAAATCTGGCAAGAGCCCCTGGAGATGAACTGTCAGTATGACTCAGCCAGGGCTGCCCTATAATAAATGGTCATGAGCAATGAGTAAGCAAACATGCCATTTACACTGACACTTGCATTTAGGCACTGTGGCCTAGTGGCTAGGGCACTGGACTGGAGCTCACCAGACCTGTGTTCTATTCCCATCTACCGCTGGCCAGCTGGGTGACCTTGGGCAAGTCACTTCCTCTCTCTGGACCTCAGTTTCCCCATTTTACAGATGGGGATAATGATACAGCCCTCCTTTGTAAAGCACTTTGAGATCCACGTCTGAAAACTGCTGGAGAAGAGCTTGGGCTGATAACGTGATGTACATGTGACGATGTATTTAACGTGGTGTGTCGCACAGCTCTGTGTTCTGTCATTCGTCTGCATACACCACAACTGCCTTTGTTGTGTTACGGGGACAGATTCACTGATTGATTCCAATGGGTGTTACTGTTAGGCACCTAAATTACCTTTGTGAATCTGGGCCCTTAACTCTGTATTTCCTGGCTTTCGGAGGTTCAGCTCTAGGTGCATTTGATGTTCTGGGAGGGTACAAGGCATTGGAGGTCAACCTGAAATTGTGTTAATAATATTTTGGGCAGCAAATTTACCATATAGACCCATCTATCGAGAATGGACATGTATGGAATGAGATGGAGATGTGCGTTATGGGTCTATCACCATCCATCCCCAGCTGTCTATCATCTCTCCAGCCACCTATCGGGTCTACCTGTCCCCATTGCACGTAGGCACCGAATGAAACAAAAGATGCCTTAGACCAATATTTCTTTTCACCTTTCTCTGTCATTTCAGAACATTTTACGGATCCAGAGCTTCCAATGAAGACACAGAAAATACTAGCAGAAAAAGCAAACCAGTTGAATTGAGAGAGACCCGTCCCATTCTTTCCTTGCTGAAGCAGGATAGAAATTTAGGAGATTTTTTTTTTGCGGGGGGGGGATGATTCTTAGATTTATCCTCCAGATTCTCTGGAATGTGTTTATTTTTATTTTGAAGGCTTTGCAATATGGCTAATAATTCTCAGTTGTGTAGTGTCCTCTGGAGGCAAAGAGAGAGATTGCACCCATGTGTTGCTGGTGATGTTTCACGCTTTACAGCTGTATGTTCTGGTAGCATCATTAAAATAGATCTGCTGGTCAACCCTGTTCTATTCACGGACGATTTCCTTTCCCTACTCTGGCTTCTCTGCGTGGCAAAGAAAATGTACAAAGACAGGAGGCAGATCTCATGCCAGGAGGGTTGCTGTTTATTGGGCAGATTTTTTTTCCTAGTTGCCGTGGTCGTAGTGAAGGGAATGAGGTACCAGCTAGCTTCTCACAAGTGTCTCCATCCGTCACTCTCACACCTGCCCTTTGACCTCCACCCTTTTTCTGTCTTTGCAAGTGTATGTGGACAAGTACATTCCTTCAGGCTTGATCCTGTGAGGTCTGAGGCTCTCTCAGGGAGCAGCTGAGCACCAGAGGCAATGTTGAGAGGGTAGGACACTGGGAGTCAGGGGATCTGAGTTCTAATCCTGGCTCTGGCTCTGCCACTGCTTGGGTAAGTCACTTCCTTTCACTGTGCTTCTGTTTTCTCTCTCACCTTTTGTCTATTTAGACTGTAAGATCATCAGAGAAGCAACTATCTTTTACTCTGCCTCAGTGCAGCACCTGGCCCAACAGGGCCCTGATCTCGGTTACTCTGCGTCCATGCATAAGGTGGGCAAAGAGCTTCACATTATTTATCTTATATTCTCCAGTCTTTCTGTCAGAGAAGCTCAGTCGTTCAAGGCACAGCCCCTATTACCACAGCAGGTAGGACCCCATTGTGCTCGGCCCTGCACAAACCCAAAACAAAGAATCACTCGTCCTGCAAAGAGCTCATGTTCTGACCAGCCAAGGCTGAGCAAAAGGATCATCATCATCACCATTCTGCGGATGGTGGGACGGAGGCCCAGGGAGAAAAAGTGACAGGCATAAGGACACACAAGGTAGCAACCTGCCAGGAACTTGGAGGGGGGAGCATAGGTTGCAGGAGGAGAGAGTGTGGAGCAAGCACCAGGAAGTCAGTCTGTGTGCTCATAGCTGGAATGCTGGCTGCAGTTACAACAGCTCTGTAAATAGTTCTAGCAATAAACAGTGAGTTAGTCTTGCAAGCATGGATACCCTTCATGTTATCACCCAGCCTGCAGTCCATGAAACACAAGGAGGGGAGGAACTGGGAACTGAACCCAGATCAATCAATTTGCAAACATCTAGAAGATAATAAGGTGATAAGTAACAGTCAGCATGGATTTGTCAAGAACAAATGGTGTCAAACCAACCTGATAGCTTTCTTTGACAGGGTAACAAGCCTTGTGGATAGGGGGAAAGCTGTAGACGTGGTATACCTTGACTTTAGTAAAATTTTTTATACTGTCTCACATGACCTTCTCATACACAAATTAGGGAAATGCAACTTAGATGGAGCTACTATAAGCTGGGTGCAAAACTCGTGGGAAAACCATTCCCAGAGAGTAATTATCAATGGTTCACAGTCTGGCTGGAAGGGCATAATGAGTTGGGTCCCGCAGGGATCAGTTCTGGGTCTGGTTCTGTTCAATATCTTCATCAATGATTTAGATAATGGCATAGAGAGTACACTTATAAACTTTGTGGACAATACCAAACTGGGAGGGCTTGCAAGTGCTTTGGAGGATAAGATTAAAATTCAAAATGATCTGGAGAAATGTTCTGAAGTAAATAGGATGAAATTCAATAAAGACAAATGCAAAGTACTCCATTTAGGAAGGAACAATAAGTTGTACACATACAAAATGGGAAATGATTGCCTCGGAAGGAGTACTGCGGAAAGGGATCTGGGGGCCATAGTGGATCGCAAGCTAAATATGAGTCAACAGTGTAACACTATTGGAAAAAAGCAAAATGGGATGTATTAGCAGGACTGTTGTTAGCAAGACACAAGAAGTAATTCTTCCCCTCTACTCCACACTGATTGGGCCTCAACTGGAGTATTGTGTCCAGTTCTGGGTACCACATTTCAGGAAGGATGTGGACAAATTGGAGCAAGTCTAGAGAAGAGCAACAAAAATGATGAAAGGTCTAGAAAACATGGCCTATGAGGGAAGATTGAAAAAACTGGGTTTGTTTAGTGTGGAGAAGAGATGACTGAGAGGGGACATGAGAACAGTTTTCAAGTATGTAAAAGGTTGTTACAAGGAGGAGAGAGAAAAATTGTTCTTCTTCACCTCTGAGGTTAGGACAAGCAGCAATGGGCTTAAATTGCAGCAAGGGAGGTTTAGGTTGGACATTAGGAAAAACTTCCTAACTGTCAGGGTGGCGAAGCACTGGAATAAATTGCCTAGGGAGGTTGTGCAATCTCCATCATTGGAGACTTTTAAGAGCAGGTTGGACAAACGCCTGTCAGGGATGGTCTAGGTAATGCTTAGTCCTGCCTTGAGTGCAGGGGATTGGACTAGATGATCTCTCGAGGTCCCTTCCTGTTCTATGATCATCTCTGTCCCAGCCCAGCACTTCCTTCCTCCAGTATGAAATATGCCCCAGCTGCGGGGCTGAAGGGTGAAGGCAAAGCACGGGAATGGGGAAGGGTAACAAATCAACTAGCCGCGTGAATCTCTGCTGACCTCTGTTGGAGCTCGGCAGGAGGCGTTTAACTCCTTAGCTGCAGTGGCCCAGGATGGGTGAGATTTACCCCAGTGCAGGGAGCCAGCACAGGGTGTGATTGGTTTTCTCCCTTTCAGCAGAGCCAGCCTCCTGTTAAATGTCCTGGGGATAAGTCTCAGGGCTTTTACAAGCCTCCTTTTGCTTCTAGGAGATAGCATAGGGAGTAGAGCACTGGCCCACAGGAGACCTGGGTTCTATTCCACTGGCCTCAGGGTGACCTTGGGCAAGTCACGTCCCCTCCCCGTGCCTCAGTTTCCCCATCTGTAAAATGAGGATAACAACACTGACCTTCTTTGGAAAGCAGTGGGGGATCTGCAGATGCTCAGAGCCAGGGAGTCTTATTATTTCAAGCCACAAGTGCGTTAGCTCCAACATCATCCTGGTTTCCAGGAAGGACAAGCTGACATTTCTTCTTCATCGCAGAGCTGCTTCCTGGCACAGGCTTGTCTCCCTAAACCAGCACCCTGAGGACACCTCATGTCTCTCTGCTCCCCCTGCTGTGAAACACTATTAGTTATTTCCCAGCAGTGGCCGAGACTATCACTTGTTTAAGGGAATGATGGTTAATTTGCCGAGACTTTAAGCATTTGCTCAACAGACAGTAGCTTACCCCTTGTGGCAGAGAGCTGTTATTTATCTGTATTGTTGTAGTGAGGAGCCCTGGCCATGGACTAGGTCCCCATTGTGCTAGGAGCTGTACATACATCCTTTGCGCTGTTGCCTAGTGCTCTTCTTCTATCTCATCTAGAGTGATGCTTCTCAGCTGCCTAAATTCGCTTTCAAATGTTTTTCTGAAAAAGGAGCAAAGCCTGCTGGTGGCAAGGCAACACCCACTGTCAGAGCGCCTCTGAGTGGTCTCATGGCAGGGAGGACAAGCCTGTCTTGCCTCAGTGCCAGCCCCCTGCTGGCCAAGCAGAAACAAAGTGACCTGGTGCTTGGGGCGAAGAGCTTTTCCTTGAAGTCTGGGAATTAGGGAGTTACAGATGTCCACGGAGTTCTCTGTAAATTCACCACCCTTCATTCTCTCTCTCTCACACGTCTACACTTGAATTTGGATTAAGGTAGGGTGTGAATTTAAAGCACAATAGTTATTCCAGACTAGCTATTCTGGAGTAAGTCCATGTGTAGACAAGCCTTTAGGTACTTTTATGGCCCCTGTTACCATACAACTGTGATGTATAGATCATGGGGCTGATTCTGATCTCTCGTTGATTCCACAGTGGGGTAACACCAGTGATTTCATTAGCATTACGCCTGCTGGAGGGCGCAATTCTGCCCAGCTCTCTGGCTCTGATCCAGCAAAGAACTTAAGCCACGCTTGAACTTTAAGCACAGACGTAGCCCCATTGAAGTCAGTGGAATGAGGGGGAGGAATAGCTCGGTGGTTTGAGCATTGGCCTGCTAAACCCAGGCTTGTGAGTTCAATCCTTGAGGGGGCCATTGAGGGATCTGGAGCAAAAATTGGGGATTAGTCCTACTTTGAGCCGGGGGTTGGACTAGATGACCTCCTGAGGTCTCTTCCAACTCCAATATTCTATGATTCTATGAACGACCCACAACCTTCAAGTTAAGCACCTGGTCAAGTGCTTGTCAGATTACGCCCTTGCACTGGTGTAAGATCAGAAGTCAGGTCCATGTTATTTTTTTCAAATGGGTCCCTTGGGGAGGGAGGAGCTGTATCTTGGGAAACCCTTGGCCAACTGACCCCAAATTTTCACCTTTCACACTGGCTCTGCCCCCCATATAGCACACCAGGTTTCAAGGCAATCGGTCTAGCCATGAGGCTTTTGCAGCACGTAAGGGAAAAATAACCGGCCATATACAGAAACCCTGCTGCAGCCTTTACGATGGAGTTTCCAAGCAAAGCTGTCCCTTCGCCAGCCAGGACCCACCTCCCTCATTATGCTGGGAGTAACCTTGACACCACCCGGATGCCAACCTTGTGATAATTGATGGAACGTCTCCCACAAAGGAAGAGCATGCTCGTGAATATTCAGGCTGTCCTCCTCTAAAATCCCAGTGGAAGAGGGACTTAATGACTTTTTTGGCACCTCTTCCAGCTTTTCTCTTCAAGTCAGCCGCTCCCATTAGCCTCCTCGTGCGCTGTGCGTGTTCGCTCTGTTACGTGCCAGGGCTTCCTGTTCTTTTAGTACGCCAGCTGATTGTTCTGGCCCCAGAAAATGAAACCTGCTAATTGCAATGACAAGAAAAATCGTTTCGAGCTGGGAGGGATTGGGGGGGGTGTTGGGAGGGGGAGAAACCTGGGCTGGAGTGATCCCATCAGAGCTCTTGGCTAGGTGGGTCAGCTCAGACAGCCACGTTCACGCCCAAGACAAAGAACGTTACCCGCCAGGATGCGACATTAGAGGGATGAAATGGACACACGGGAAACAGCTCTTCCAATAGTGCCAACCTCTGGCGTTCAAAGATGAAGAGTCAGGCCCCCCCTAGCATGGGCACAGCTCTGCAGGTGGCATC